CGAATGGAGACAATGCCACCTTGGTGGTTACCTCCTCATACACTGTGTGGCAATGTGATCGGAGACCCGTCATAGGCCTGGAAGACACACGATGACTGAGCAGTGCATCTACATAGTCCTTGTGGGTGATGGTATTTGCCAGGACTGCCTTTCGCACACCCTTGGCCCGTTTGGCCGATTCCTGTCCGATGTAGGAGTACATCTTCGATCTTAGACCTACAAACTCCACCATGGATTTCCCACCAAGCTCATCTTTGAATTTGCCAACCACTTTCTTATTGGCAGAAGTGTACTGAGGATGGTCAGTGGGAAAGTTGCTGGTGTCATACAGAGACAGATCCATCTCTGCATAAACATCACCGGTGGTTATGTGCACAATAACAGAGTCGGTGTCGGTGTACAACAGCCGGATTCTGCTACCATACTGCTCCTTCAGCACATCGTAGTAGAAGGAGTACATGTGTACCTTTGACAGGTCTAGTATCGACATACCCACATAGACCGGCTTGTTGAGCTTGATCTCAGTGTACTGCTTTTCTATGCCGACAAGCCCGTTCGGGAAAATGTCATGCCGCACATATGTAGGCTTGCTCACTGCCCTCAGTACCTGCTCCTCACTTTCTTCTCGCAAGAGATCGATGCGTGCTCGATTACGAACGTTCTCCATCGTCTTGCCAAAGACTGAGTTGTTCATCAGCTGCAGCACACAAACAGGCAAACATGACACATGAGAATCATATCATGCCATTCCTTCACATCAGCATATTTTCAATTAGCATACTCCACGTCACACTTGCACCATACATGCAACAACAAAAAACAACAACAACAACATACGAGACTGCACACAACGGTTGCATTTACCTTGTAAAAGCTCTTCTCAAAGTCGGTTGTAGCCCTCGTGCGAAGTGCAGTGTTCAGATTGATGTAGGGAGCCATCCAGGCACTCTGCTGAAATCCCAACACCTTGTGAACAGCGGTCACCACCATACCCAGACGCGAATACAGCTGCAGTGTACGGTAGTGTAACACATACTTGGACTTGGGTAGGAGACTGGGTGTCAACTTGACTCCATCTACGGCTGACACTTTGAGCTCCTCCACAAGTGCTTGTTGGTATGGTGATAGCTTATCTGAGAATGTTCTCATCACTTCCGGTGCGAGTGGATAATCATTGAAGTAGTAGTGCAGCGAAGAGGGTGCCTCAAGATCACACTCCACAATGAACCCAGTGCTCGAATCTACAGGGTGTGCCAGTATCTCGGACAGGTTCTTGTCACACCAGGCAAACTCAGATGTCGGCATACTCTGGCACATAGCCCAGCCATACAGGTTGTTGGCATCAAGGTATAGCAGGTATGATGTGGGCTCGGCAGGATTGTACTGATCCATCGTTGGGTTGTTGGCCTTGCCGTACCGCTGCGACGCCATTGAGATGCCCCCACGTAGACCGGCTTCGACAAACAGATGCATGTCTACATCCGTGAGCAGCTGCAGTTCAATCTGGGTGAACCGTAGTAGAGCATCCCATGCATATCCTACATAACACCATACAACACACCAGAACACAAACACGAAAGTCAATACACCATGCAAAAAGTATAAAAATACACCGACAAGAAAGCACAAGAATACTAACAGAGAACACCATCTAAAGGAGAGAATGCATTGGACAACAACAAAAACTGATGAACATACCTGGGAGAGTAAGGTAATGGGCTGGATCCAACCCATACGTCTTGTATGCCGTCTTGCGGAAATGCTCAAAGACATCTGCTAGAAGATAGACATCTGTTTGCAAATAGAGGTCATGATATGCCTCCATTGTACTGCACTCAAATGTCTGCAAAAAAAAAAAAAAACACATCAACGCACACACACAAACGCACACATCCATACACACAAGCATCCACACATCCACAGATGGAGAGCAATGAGTACAAAAAAAAAAAAAAAAAATGAGTAGAGCACATCACAACAGCATTCAAAAGTCATAAGTAGAGCACAATAATGCAAAAAGCATGGCATCAGGGAAATTCTGAGGGGCAAGGCACAAGCTGCTTACCTGCCATACGTTCTGAGCATGGGCATAGTCGGCATCACTGATACCTTCTCCAGTCAAACTAGACTCAAATGCTGATTTAGGCGGCAGCTGTGTCTCATCAAACCGAGCAAAGGAGTCCATGTACTCGTAGGGGTAGACACCCTTACGCAGGAGAAGGTCATGATGGGCCAATGTACGAGTAAGCTTGAAGGCGTCTTCCGGAGTGTTGCTCACCAACGAGTCCAGAGAGGAGTTCAAGAAGGCCATGGAGTCGATGAAGCGGTACTGGCGCCACTTGAATGAAATATATTTCTCCATGTTGTTGGCGATGACACTGATCTCACCAACCTTCTTAATCCGCTTACGCTGGTTAGAGTCCTCGTACTCCACCTCTTCAACCTCGGTCATACCAATGTGGGCGATGAGGTGGTGAGCATCGTACCCTTTCAGGTTGTGAAACACAACCGGAATGATCTGGCGATCTGGGTAGATACTCAGCTGAATATTACACTGGTAGTGTGCAGCACCACGGTAGTTGCCTGTGCAGATATTCAGAAAGAGGGGAAAACACAAACATAGTAAACATCTACAGTGAAGGTGATACCACAGACAATACAATTCAATACACCGTGATAAAACACATATGCAAACAGCTACAAAGACATGAAAATGCACTATACACATCATGCGCATATCTACACACAACTGCAAAACAACAAAAATAAACAAAAAATTATAATACTTACCAGTGAGATGATCATGATCACGAACACGATCTTCTCCAAGTACTTCATCACATATCCAGCAGTTGACTGCGTTCTGAAACTCAAGCTCCAGTTCTGCCGTCATGCGAATTGGCCTGATATCAGCCAAATCCTCCTGGATACTGCCTTCCAACTCTTTGAGACTGTCGAAAAAGTTGTGAATGGCATTCTCACTGCAGTCGTCAAACTCGCCACGGACTTCACCGTTGGATCGGATGGCAGCATATCTACAAGAGCATAAAAGAAGAGGGAAAGTAAGAATAAGTGATTTTTTGAAAAAATGGAATCACACAAAATGCACATACTACAATACGAACACAATCAGGGGAGAACAAGACAAGAAGAAATAACAGGAAGCACTGTGCAGGCATGAGTACAGCAAAAATTAGTCAAAAACAACACCAACAACAAAACATACCTGATGCTGCATGGTACATGACGGGCTGTGCGTACAGTGCTGCTGCCATGCTGTTCCTCCATCGGCTCAATGATGGCCTCCGTATCAGCGTAAATGATATATGGAGCCACCATCCTGTGCTTCAAATTTGTATATTTGAGGATGCTGTCCTTTGCTGTGGGCATGACTACTGGCACAGGCTTCATCACCTGACATCTCTCGCTGTGATGCTGCAGGGAGTCTGCTGTTTTGTGTGCGGAGAGGCATCGGAAGCAATAGTGTGTTGCCCGCTTGTTCTTATTCTCACATGCACGACTGAAGTTTTTTATCCATGTGAAGTGGTTGTCATGTAGAAGCAGGTTGATTGGAGTCTCCTGTCGCTCGCTGAGATACAGTGGGTACAGATTCCCCTCGTAGCCAAACACATTGATTGCAAGACCATTCTGTAACTCCACTTTGGGTACATCACTGAGCGTTGCAGGGAACATCACACCATCGAACCGCAGCTCATCAACGTACTGGGTGTACCTGGATACACGCTGTGGGTTGTTGTCGATGGGATGCATCGCTGACAATAACGCCCACATCAAACACCTGTCATCGTTGTTCTTTACGTTAATGATGGCCTTCTTTTTTTCTAATTTGGGCGGGATATCAGCTGCACCACCTACAGAACACCACAAAAATACAACGAAGGTTTTTCTCAGAGTTACACCACATTACAACTAAACCCTCTCGACAATCACGAAAGACTGTACATCTAGTACAAAACATCTACAACTTTCCACAAGAAATTCGACAGGCTTCGAACAAACACTGCCGGATGAACAGAAACTCACCTCGAAGAGGAGTGTACTTTGCTGTCGACACATCCAGCTGTCTCACTCGAGAAACGGTCCAGTCAGATCCGTTCTGCACCCACTTATCAATAAGACCAGTGATCCTCGCCACCATCGTCTTGACTGCACTATCAATATCCCCTTCGCTGAGGATCCGAGCCGGTCTACTTCTAAAAAACGGGAAGGCAGACGTACTACCCGTGGCCGACTCTCGTGTCATCTCCACCCTCAAAACTAAAACCACCTTGAAAGGGTGAGACTGAAGCTCCTCGAGCAGAACCTGTCGGAGCTCGTCATGATGGCTGCTGAAAAAGACGAGAGGATCAGTGCCTGAACCTGGCAAAGAAAACTTTTTCAAAAAACCACGCACGGCACTCGAGGTGGGCAATCTGGGCTGCCTAGATCGTTTTGCACTTGGCTCCGCCATCGTCACGTAACCTCCAGCACTGCCTACAACATACTGAGGAAAAATCTCCTCGTACAGCGTATATGAGGTCGGCTATCACACTAGTATAATGACACGTGTACTAGTCCACCTTGTGTTGCACTGCGTCTTTTCCGCAGGGCCACTGAAGGTCGCACGCTCCGCGTGCTTATGCGCGCATGCGCAATATGTCATTCACTGCACATCTACGATGTGCAAATCAGGGAGTAGTACGTATTTTACTACTCCCCGGTGCAATGAATGCACCGAACGTGCACAAGTGCACGGTCGCCACGGAAAAGAACATGATGACATTTATGACATGGCAGGGCCAAAGGTCAAACCCTAGGGGGTCCCGAGGCCAGACCAAGCGCGCCCGATACAGTGTGCCTTATTCAACCCAAAGGTCAAAGGTCAAACCCTGGGGGAGTCCCGGGGCCAGACCAAGCACGACCGACACAGTGTGCCTTATTTGGCCCAAAGGTCAAAGGTCAAAAAGTGGGCCAGAACCCGCCCCGCACTTACTACTGGCCTAACTTCGTTTTATTGCAAACGGACGACCAGGCAAGATGGGATCTGGGTGTTATGAATAAAACGGTGGCGCTCATCGCTCAACAGGGAGTTTCCTTCACGAATTACATGGTCAATACCCCCATTTGCTGTCCGTCGCGAGCTGAAATCTTCTCCGGCAGGTACTTCCACAATGTTGGTGGACCCGGTGGCTCTTGCATGCATGTGGACGCTGAGGATGCAGTCTTCAATGAGCACAGCTTGTTTTCCTCACTGCAGTCTGCCGGATATCAGACTGGTGCCTTCGGAAAGTTGACCAACGATCAGAATCATTTCTTTTGCAGCAAGAAGCGTGCAGATGGTCTGAGTATGATCGGATCACCCTGTAACGTTGGCGTCTACTACCCCACGAAATATTTTATCAAGCTTCCCAACGGCACCAAGTATTTTGAGAACCTTGACAGCAATGACCCGGCCACCTATCTCACTGCTCAGCTGGGCAACCGAACCATCAATTGGATCACTCAGCTGGCGGGAAACTCGCCTCTTGCCGCCCCGTTCTTCGCTTACATCGGACCGCATGCTCCTCATCTGCCGGCTGAGCCAGCGCCCTGGGAGGAGGAAGACAGGTTTGAAGGCATCACGGCACCTCGTACGCCAAGCTGGAACGTATCGTGTCCAGACAAGCATGGCTTCATTGCCAAGAACCCACCACTGGACGAGAACGCCACTGACTTCCTTGACCAGCAGCATCGCGACCGTCACATGTCCCTACTTGCTGTGGATGATGTCATCAAAGCCGTGTACACTACGTTGGAGAAGCTCGACCTACTGGAGAGTACCTACATCATTACTACTAGTGATCATGGATACCATCTGGGACAGTGGCGAGTGCCGAGTAGCAAACGGCTGCCGTACGACACCGACATTTTTGTCAATACATTCATCCGCGGACCGGGCATTAAGCCTGGAAGCGAGCAGGCTGCAATGGTGGGTAATACAGACATTGCGCCGACTATACTTGATCTGGCTGGCGTGGAAATACCACCGCTCATGGATGGGAAGAGCATGGCGCAGCTCATCATCTCCAGTGACAATCCCTATTACGACCTAGCGCTGCGCCAACAAGCTGTTCCCTGGCGCGAAGCATATCTCATCCAGTATCACATGACATCGGCCAACACCAATTCCGATGCGAGCATGTGGTTTCCGGGGACTGGAGTGTTCCACGGCACGCAGCTGTACCCGCCGGCACGGCCATGCAAGACGTGTCCGCCCTGGATGCTGGACGGGCCGGAGAACACGTATCGCGCACTCAGACTACGCAACGCAACACACAACATACTCTATGCCGAGTTCAACGTGCATTTCGACTTTAGCAACGCGTCGGCCATCTTCTACGAGTTCTATGATGTCACAGAAGATCCCTATCAGGTGAAAAACACATATGGATCGGTGCCGAAAGCAGCACGGGAAAATTATCGTTCTCAATTAGAGACATTCTCAGCCTGTGCAGGCGGGCAGGGGCACCTTGAAGGCAACTGTCCTTAATTAACAGTCAGTGCATTGTGCAGTGATTCCTACATGCAGTACGTATACCAAGAAGACCAAGAACTTAAAAAAACGTATTCACCTGTCTGTTTTTAAAGTGCGTGTGTGTGTGCCGTGTGTGTGTATGTGTGTGTGTGCCGTGTGTGTGTGTATGTACGTGTATGTGTATGTTTGTGGAGGGGGCATCAGCTAATAATCAGGATTTTCAATTTAGCATTTTTCCACTATCATAATATATGAGTGCTCTACACGTATGTGGTACGACGCACACGCACTCAAGATACGTGCACCCTTTTGGCTTACTGGTCTTCGATGGGCAGTTATAACTATGATGACGTGGGATAACAGAGCCGGAACAACAGAGCCAGAACAACAGAGCCAGAACAACAGAGCTAGACACATTTAGGGCCTGTGCATGTTGTGGACTTTATTTATAGTGGAAATTAAAACAGGCATATGCATGCCTAATAACAATGGACCCCGGCACTCGAGGACTCATCAGAACATTACATGTAGTCTGTACGTCGTTGTGGGTAACAGTAACACATAATCCAAGCAGGAGACTTCAACGTTCACAATCAGATGTAGCTTTTTAAAGTCCATGAAGGTAACAGCAGCATGTCGGCGGATATCTGGAGGACATTTGTAATCTCCATCAGTTCATGGCCTTTAAATTATCAGCACGCGTTGCCGGTTGGTACATCTCTCGTACACGGGGTCTCAACACTCGTAATCTGTGCGATATCTGCATGGCTTTCCCCGGCCGGAAATGCCACCAGTTCAGAGACTGCCTATCCCTAATGACTTTGAGGCTCACTCCGTGCCTCTAACCACATCTGTCTTGCTGTTGATACAAACAGCTGGATTCCGCCAACCTCCGACACGCCGCACAGTATGGCTCTCCACATGAACAAGTCTTGGCATGTTGTCTTCGAATGGTGCTAGTTGGGGTAGGTGTGGTGGTGGGCATTTGCGGGACCCATTATCGATAATCCGTGCCTAGCGTCAACACCTAGTAGTAGTAGACTTTGCCTGTACTGTAGCTGCATCCTCGTGCTTCCTGGCACCCTGAAGGAAAAGAATGCCTTCCGGCCATGGAACTACTTGGAAGCCCGCCTGCGAGTCTGTGTACCGCCTGGTATCAGTCAGGACGGCACTGTCTGTAACAATTTTAAATTACTTACATTGTACTTCCGACCATGTTCCTGACACATCTCTGACGATACAACACTAGTCACTACATTAGTCATTAGGGCCGGTCGAGGCAGCTAGCTGGAAGCAGAGTCCACCATGCACAGAGCAGCATGCACAGACACCGGAATCAAAGGGATGTGAAGCTGTAACTGATTACTGTACTTCAAGTTTCACGCATTTCAGCGATCACCAGACAGCGGCACATTGTCTCACGACTAGCACTCCAAATGCACACGGTCCCACCTACACGGCTTGTGCTAAATACAGTTGGTCTCTTCGTTATACATGTATATGTAGTAGATCTACCGTAATCTGTTTTATAACTATGGTCAGTATGGAGTATGGTGGTAAACACGCACCTGGCGGTAAATACACGCAGGATAGGAACTATACAACAGGAAGAAAGGAGATAAAAAAATGGCTGTGAATACAGTCTAATGTGACTTGTCGAGCCAGACCGTCAGACGAGCCTCAGCCTGGACGAGGTCGACAAGCGCGAGGTCGAAGTGACAAAAAATAAAATTTAATGGCTGTGAATACAGTCTAATATCGAGCCAGACGAGCCTCAGCCTGGACGAGGTCGACAGGCTAGGTGCGAGGTCGAAGTGACGACGGCGAACAGAGCGTGATCCGCAGACGCAACGGATGGCAGATAGTACCTGGCGAGAGAAAATGCCAAGCATCCGTTTTATACACAACCTTGACGTAGTCAAGTACACAATCATTGTATTACAGTAATAGGTATAATTATAACACTGGCTAGTTCATGCCGGACATCCTCTTTCATTTCAACAAAGACTAAGCTAGATTAGTAATGGATAGTTTGTCTATTACTAGAGCCAGTAGAGGTGCTGTGAGGGCATGTAAATGTATTGTCTTGCTATCAGAGCCTTTAGTTTAGGCTTTACCCGTGTCGCTCTCGCAGGCGGGCTCAGCTGTACATCTCAATCCACATAACACATGGTACAAGTGTGCTGAACTAACTTCTACTCTCTAGCAGCACTGCCTGCATGCAGCCATGTACACGGTAAGTAACAGAGTTGTGTGGTATTGGCATTGCCTCCGGCCCTCGTGGTTCTCAGGTGTCCTTCACGACAGGTTATTAGTATTATTACCGGTGGTGGTGGTGGTGGTGGTGGTAGGGATGTGTACGTGGGAGCCTCTGACTCTGAGCTTCCTATCCGTATCCGCTCAGGTCGCTCCATCCGGATTTATAATAACTGTTACTTACCTGTCATTTACATGGTACATGTACGTATGCTTTCGCACCAATCACTTTCCCGTATCCGCCTATGAACGCAAGACTAGTAGTAGTAGTAGTAGTACTAGTATACATGGTATATGACTGTACAGATCTACCATGACTCCTCATGAGCCTATGAAGCAGGGAGTCATAGACCCTCTATACGACTCCCTGCTATGAAGTAACACGTTAGTTAGCGGCTCGCCCGCACAAGCTTGCTCCTGGTTGACTGTCCCTGTGACGCCTAATCCGGAAATGTTTATGCATCCAGCTTTCGCACCACACAATCACCGCGATCCCAGACAGACAGACAGTGAGATGCTGCTCGAGCTACACTACAGACCGTAGATCATGGTAGATATCGTTCAGTTGCTCTACAATGATGTCCGTGTTGATGCGGGTGCTGGATGTACTGCGACGGCAGCTAGCTAGTCCCGTTGGAAGGTTTTTTTTTAGTAAAGGTGTTCCGGCGCTGGGAGGAGGATTCAGTTTCTTTCGCTTGCTTATACGTCTTGTGAGAGAGAACAGCGAGAACTGCTACCGTTTAGCTGCTCCATGGCTCTGTCTTGGTGTGTGACCTTGGTGACCATCCTGCTCTTCTTGCACCATTGCCATTTTCACTTAGCGGCTGAAGGTAAGGCACAACTGTGAACACGCATACAATGCACATTTTACGGAAACGAGTTATTTTCACTGCAGTTAGCACTTCTCATGCAGCATTGCTCGGCCAAGGTTATTGTTATTGTATGCTCTAGAACTGGCATGGAGGATACTAATAATGATCTTCACCATAATTAGTTATTCATAGGTTGAGGGAATGGAAAAGAGAAAAGTCTGAAGAAAAATTGACTGTCCTGACTCACCACCAGAACTCGAACCAGGGACCTTCGCTTGAGGCCAGCGATGCTCTAAACACTGAGCTATGGTGTAGCTATCATCCCAGCAGAGACCGTTAAAGGGGAAGTTAAGTCCAAAATCAAATTTTCACCAGTTGTAGTCTTCGGGGTGCTGAGTCGAATGGTCTTGGTCCGAGGAAGCTCAGACGCTCCCTTCTTCCTTTATTCCCAATCGAACTTGCGCACTTCCACCGAAACTTGGTGACTGTGCCCTACTATATGGAGATTTGTATGCAAAATGTCACTAAGAGCGCCATTTCGTTCTAAAAAAAGCCCGGAGGACCGCGATTGGCCCATATGTTGTAGTCTTTTGGACGCTGAGTCGACTGGTTTTGGTCCGAGAATGCTGCGATGCAGCGTTCCTCCTTTATTCCCAATCGAACATGGTTGAACAAGCGGTCACGTGCTCCTGCATGCCCAAGTCACCTGGTCACCGCGCCAGCAGGCGACAACTTTCACACCAAGGTTCAACTCGAGTTTAACTCGAGTGACAGGAGTGCACCCAAAAAAGGTCAAACAGGCTGAAAGTTGTACCAAGAGTGCATAAACAAGAGTATGTAACTGTGGTTACGGCCCAGTGCACGGCGCGCTGCCTTCATTACGTAACTTGCCTTCATCACGCTCTGAAAGCATGCATTCAAACTCACAATTTCTCGTACGAGCCCATCCGTTTTTGCTTGATTCGTTCCAGTACCTACGCGATCTCTGAATTCTGGCGCGTGAACTCCAGTTCTGTACGAAAGTTCATTTCAAACCAGAGAGAAAGTGCGGTGTTTGATTTTCCGCAGTGCGCGGACTGCAGCTGAATGATGTAATGAAGGCAGCGCGCCGCGCATCTGGCCCATAGAAAAGAGATCACAGTTGATTTGTATGCCAATCAGTATGACTGTTTTGGGGCCGTTTTCCGCTGAAAGCCATTTTATGTCTCTAGATGGGTCAAAAAGATGCCCCGGCAGTAGACGGACATGCCCGGATTAGGGAAGTCCGGATATTAGGGAGTTTTACTGTACTCTGAATCCTAATCCATGACACCCCCTTCCTTTTTTTCTTTTGATAATGCTATTTTCCATGGTTGGATTCACCCTCCCTTTCTTGTATTGGCTATGTATTACTATGTGCCATGAAGTGGAGACGATAAATAAATAAATAAATAAAATAAGTAAACATTTCCTCTGAGACAAAAATGCAATAAAACTCATAAAAAGGACACACTTCAGGCTCATTACGAAGACTGTTCCTGTTCCTTTTCCCTTGCCTGTATTTCACCTGACGAGCCGAAGGCTTGAAAGTATACTTGTGAAAACAAAAAAACTTTCAAGATGTTCGTAATGAGCCTGAAATGTGTCCTTTACGGTATTATAAATAAAATAAATATATATAAATAATCCGAATCCTACCCGGCTATTGAGCTGCCAGCATGTAGGACAGTGCAATGAAAACCAAATGAATACATTCTCTATGGCTGGGTTCAGCGGGTTGAAAGTTGGTACGGTTGAAAAATAGGCAGGCTCGGCTTTACGTGAAGATTGTTGACCCGAGGAGACTACTGGTTATTTTAGAAAAAAACAAGGTCCATTCCTAGATTCCTACACACCGAAGGCGAAGATCTGTTTAGCTGTGACTTCCAGTTTCACACATCCTAGCATTCTTTAGACAGCGACATTCAGTCTAGATTCCTATGATGCTTGCACAGCTGCCTTGGCAGGTCTCTTGCATGTACACTGCTGTATAACCA